CGGCCGATACCGATTTTGACCCGGACATATTCATAGTTTTTCCAAGTTTCATGTCTTTCCAACAAATCCAGAATAGGTTTTTCCAACTATTCAAGTGAGCTGTAAACATTTTAGCAACGCAAAACCTGGAATTTTTTTTTAAGAGAATGCAAACGTGACCAATAACTAATTTTTATCACTTTATGTCCAGGTGCGGCCATTGCCAGAGACTTCAGCCTGCATGGAACGAACTGGCTGACAAATACAACAGCATGGATGACCCTCCCGTATATGTGGTGAAAATGGACTGTGTCCAGAACACCAAGTTCTGTTCCAGCGAGCACGGCGTCAGAGGATACCCTACGTAAGTAAGAGAAGCATCTACCCTAAACCCCACAGAGAGATGCACAGACAGGAAAGTTTGTCTGCTTTGAAAAAAGAAAAAACTCTGAACAGCATGCAAATTATGTAAAACTATAACATATTTCAGCATTCATTCATATCAGAAGTGAAACTTGCACATTTTTCATATCATGGCTAGAAATGTGACCCAAGCAGGATCTGACTGTGAAATGGTGAATTCACTGCACCCCTTATGTTAACACACCTCTTACAGCTTAGAAATGAACTTGCTTTCCGTTAATCATTGAAATTGGTGACACATTGACCTAGATGTAGTTAAATATTCTGCCAGAAATCCTCATCTAAAACAATAATCCTGCTGCTGACGGCCCTCTACACCTGCAAACACAGCAGAAACACAACCGACTCTAAACAATTATTGACTGTTTGGTTTAATAACCAATTTTTTTTCCATTCCTTTGTGTGTTTATGTGTAGATTAAAGTTGTTCAAGCCAGACCAGGAAGCAGTGAAGTACCAGGGACCAAGAGATCTGCAGTCTTTGGAGACGTGGATGCTGAAAACGCTCCAGGAGGAGCCTTCGGTGAGTTTCGTTCACTCGGTAATCAGCCTCAAAGCGACGTTTTGTGAATTAAAGGTTCCCATCCACTTCTGTCCTCCAGGAACCTGTAAGTGAGCAGGAACCCCCTAAAGCCCCAGAGCCCAAACAGGGCATGTATGAGCTCACTGCAGCTAACTTCAAGGAACACATATCCACAGGTAAATGTGGAGCTTCATTAGTCTCACTAGTTACTGGGTAATTACATTTTTTACAGTTGCAGCTGTATCCGGCTGTAATAGTTTCACTCTTGTTCCATATTTAAATGCTTTTTCAGTTTTGGTCCACAGTAAGATGTGATTCTGCATCTGTCATTAAGTAACTAAAATGGGTTATTGCTTTGATTTGAATATCAGGATAAACTAACAATTTAAAAAAAAAAAAAAACTTAATGTAATGTCACTTCACGTTTTCGGACTGGACCATAATAAACTCTGAATGAGACGACGGTTCTTAAGCTCCACCGAAGCTCAAGAATCGTCATCAAAAACAAATGATTTCCTGTTTGGATATGACACGGGCGCCTTTAGCGTCTGGTTACTGCTTGTAGCTTTGCATCCTGGCAACAGCAAAGCAATAATTTGAGCTGTAAAGTAGCATAACTGGTTGTATAAAGCCCTGGAGGCTGGGTAAGCTTTTTATAGCAGGTAATGCCGTGTGCATAAAGAAATGAGTTTACGTTATTAAAAGTATAAATCTTGAATCAAGGCAACTTCTTTTTTTTAATTTTTTTTATGCATCTTCATTACTTGCAATGGCTTCTGTGTTTCATTTCCAGGTGCTCATTTTATTAAGTTCTTTGCGCCCTGGTGCGGCCACTGCAAAGCCATGGCGCCGACCTGGGAGCAGCTGGCCTCCAGCTTCGAGCACTCTGACGACGTAAAGATAGGAAAGGTGGGCTGAGGCTGTCGTCACTGTTGAACGCAATCTCAGAAGATATCCACACTTTATAAGCTTAATGTTTTGCTTTAAATGTTCGACTTCTCCCGACGTTGCAGGGATCCAGTTGACTTTAGACCAAAGTCCCTTTGCACAGTCAGTTGATTTGTGTGACAGAACGGGTTGTTGATCACATGAGGTGTTGCTCATTTGCATGGGAGGGTCATAAACAATGCGGGTGCCAGCGTTTGCTGTGATGTCACTCCTGTTTGACTGCTGGTAATTTGTCTGTGACCCAGGTGGACTGCACACAGCACTACGAGGTGTGCTCTGAGAACGGTGTCAGAGGATACCCGACACTGCTGTTCTTCCACAACGGACAAAAGGTTTGGGAGCAGGCTGTAGTGTTGAAAGATTCCCCAGTTTGGTGTGTGTGTGTCCGTGTGATAACTCTCCGGCTCTTATTTGTTTTATTAAGACAGAACAATACAAAGGGAAGAGAGACCTGGACTCGTTCAAAGAATTTGCAGACAACCAGCTGAAGGCTGCGCTCTCTGCAGAGCAGAAGGAGGAACCAGCCGAGGAGCAGCAATCAAACGAGGTTCCCACCGATGAGCCGGCGGACGAGGAGGCAAAGGTGGGTGTGTACAGCAGGCGCGCATAGCATGTATAGAGACGAATACTTTAGTGCTCTGTTCTGAATCTCTTTGGGTGTGACCGTATCTTGTAAAGAAATCTCATGGTATCGAAACAGCAACTCAGTTCATTTTGCTTATATAAATGGTTCCAGTTCACAACAAACGCCTCGATGCTCACAGTGGCATTTTACAGCACATTATTGTTCAAAATAAATTTATTTCACAGAGCGTGATCCGTTTGACTATTAAAGGAATTGTAAGCTAATGTTATGAGCCAGTCGGTGCAATAAGAAAGTAATTCTTAAGTTGACTAGTAAAGATTCATCAGTTTATTTTGTTGTTTTTTTTTGCCATACCCACCAATAATATTAGAAACTTGACAAAAGCATAAGGTGTTTGCTTGCATATAAGTCTTGGTTACAACTGCCAGTGATCATTATTAATTTTCTTTAGACCCATAAAGTTTACGTATGCCGTTCTGTGTTTGCAGTCCGACGTGTTGATCCTCACCGAGAGCAACTTTGACGAGACGGTAGCGAAGGGCTTGACCTTCGTCAAGTTCTACGCTCCATGGTAAGATCACCTCTGTAGGAACAAATGACCATGTGGATGTTTTCCTAACTGCTGTATGACAATATAATCAGTTTCTAATTGCATCTTAATCAGATTCTGAAGTCTGGTTGGTCCCATCTAATGACCTTGATCCACTTCTGCTTTAAAATGAATTCCTTTAATTAATCAGATCAACTTTTATTTATCATGTTGGGTTTAACATAGGGGTGTCATTGGTGAATACACACAAAACACCTCAGATATTTATTGTATGTGCTACTCTGCTGTTCTCTTAAAATCCCAAATAAATAAGAAACTGATGAATAATTTATATTAAAAAAAAGGGATCGTCTTCTTTTTCTTGCATGGTTTTAAAATGACAAGTAAATATAATTCTGAATACACTTTTTCAAAGGGATTTTAAGTTCCCGAAGCATCTCGGTTCTTGATTAAAATGGCACTACTCTGGTCTTCCTGCTGTGCAGGTGTGGTCACTGCAAGAATCTCGCTCCAACCTGGGACGACCTTTCCAAGAAGGAGTTTCCTCCTCTCACTGATGTCAAGATCGCCAAAGTGGACTGCACCGTCGAGCGCACGCTGTGCAACAAGTATTCTGTAGGTTTAACTCTAAAACCCCACACAGCCCAGACTCGTATAGAGTAACTCTGCAGCTTGAGCTTCACTCGAACTGGCTGTTGCTAAGGCTAATCAAACCTGATGTAGTCCTGATTTTTATTTATTTTATTCTCTCTCTCAGGTGCGGGGTTACCCAACGTTGATCATCTTCAGAGCTGGGGTGCAGGGTGACGAGCATCACGGGGGGCGGGACCTGGAGAGCCTGCACAGCTTCGTGATGAGGCAGGCGAGAGACGAGCTGTAGGAAGCAACACCTCTCTACCTGGAGTCTCCTGTTTATCTGGCCAGCTGGACAAGAGTCTCTGTCCTGCAGCAGCCAAGTCGGATTTCCTTCAGGAAGGAGTCAAGCCAGCGACAGACTGATGTCATCATCTGGGTCTATTTTTGTTTTTATTTGTATTTACAGACAGAATAAATGTGTTGGAAATGTATTTTTTTATAAATCTCTCGAGCTGAAATCTTAACGTTTGTAAACCTCTGCAAGCACTGGTCCAATAAGAACCGGAAACACCGACAACTGTACCAAGACGTTCATTAAAAATCTTGTTTTTTTTTGTTTTTTGACTGTGGGTTTCCCCTCTTTCCCTTCCTACTACTTTAAACCTCTCCTGTTATGACGCTGTGACTCTTAAGTTGTAAAAGTTGTGATGTCTCTGAGGTTGAGGGTTATTTTAAAGGTACATCATGTACATCTGCTGATAGCCTATCTGACGTAACTCTCAGGGAAAACAACCAAGTGGACCAGAACAATGTCGCTCACAGGATTGTAGTTGACGTGGCAACCTGAGCTGTGGATGAGGACCAGATTTACACTTCATTACATAGAAAAAGCTCTAAAAATGATCAACCACCTTCGTTTCACGTGAAATTCGTGTGACATCTTTTTACTTTTTTTTTTTTTTTTTTTTTTGTTTTTGAAGTTTCAAGTCATTCATTATTTTAGTTCACTTCTTTTTTATTAAAAAAAAACTCATCCAAATGCAGTTTGTTTGTTTTTATCAAGCCAAGTGAATTTCAGATCAGGACCATCTACATTCATTTATCACTGATTATTGTACTGATTGAAGCATCATTGAATGTCCCTGGTATAAATATGAATTGTTTATTAAATCACAATAACATAAGAACTTGACTAGTCTGGTTGAAAAGTAAAGCTGAACTTGCACCAATTAAATTTTTTTCAGTAAAGTGAATTTACTGAATTTATTCTCTATTTTTAGGGAATTTAAAACATTTTTTATGGATTGGCCAACTGGACTGTGTTCAATGTTTATGCTCCTGACTGGCTTATGTGATTTAAACGAACTGTTGCTTTTGTTCGTTTGTTCACAAACGAACAAAAGCAACAGTTTTTTTTTTTGGCTTTACGAGCAACACATGGTCTAAAGAGGTCCAGTGACACAACTCTATTTAGTTTTTCAATGGGCAGTATTTGCTCCCTATCCACAAGTTTTGTACCAAAAAAAGAAACAAAAGTGGAAAGTTGTAACATAAGATTTCATAATAAATTTTGTCAAAAACATGTTTGTATTTTTTATTTTTATTTCTCGCTTTAATGTGGTATTTTCTTTATCAATAAAAGGTGCAATAAATAAGCTGAAAATGTACACGTATTTACAGAAAAAAAAAAACAGTCTTAACAGGATCACAAATGTAAACAGCAGCTTTCCAGAGGTATATAATATTTAAGATCGGTTAGGCACAAAAGGTTTTTTGATTGGTACGGATACAAGTCTTTTTTTTCCTCTCTCTCGTTCAGATATGTTCTTTTAAATATTCCACGACATTTAAGGCTCACAGTAACGCGCTCAGAGGGGAAGACGCTGCAGCTAAATCTGAGCATAATGTCGCTCTCAGGGTTACAGAAGAAAAAGAACTCGTCACGCGGACCGTTTTGGTCTCTGCAAATGTTTTTCCACAATCTCTTGTAAAGGGGTTAGACGTGTTTGTGAGCTTCGCAAGTGCAGCAAAACAGAAACGGCCACTTGTGGCATGTCGGAGGGCGAAAGGGGCTGAATCTGTGTCCTTTTTGTAGAAAAACACGAGTTTGGCCACAACATGGATCGGGTTAAACCGGCCCCGAAGAACGGCATGTCGGCCTGAGCCTGGCAAATATTGACACAGAGAGCATTATTTGGAGGAGCGTGCTGCTAAAACAGAATGTGGTCACTTCGGTTGAGTCCAAATTATATTTTGGGGAAAGTAAATATGGCTTGCGAGGAAAATACAGTAGGAAAAAAAAAAGGATAAATACGAATGTTCTGACGGATGCGTCAGTTAACATCTGCTGTAAAGTTGCAACTGGCCTCGTTTGTTCTCGTCTCGACGGTGCAGATTTTTGCGTTGGCTGAGCAGGTGTTCGGGTCGGTCGCGGGGAAACTGATCTTTCGTACGCCTCCTCAGATTTGGTCCGCTGTGTTTTCCTTCGGAGAGGAGATGGGGGAATGAAAGCAGCAGTCTAACTGGTCCATCAACAGATTGGTTACGGCAGCCTGTCAGGCCTTCCTGCGATTCAATAAACACACAATATACAAACTAAACACTCCTCTCAGACACACAAAGTCCGTGAAAGCGAAGTCTGGAGCGTGACGCCGACGACGACGATGCTGGCTCAACACTGGAATGGGGAGAAGTCGCCTGTAACTCTCAGTCTGGTATCGATCCCCATCCTTGTCGTCGACATGTTAATAGTTTCCGTTTGTGATTATTGAACTAGATGCTGCTGACTTCCAGGCTGCAAAAAAAACAAAACAAAACGAAAACAAAAACGAGTCCAACTGAGTTCAGCCTTGTCCGTCGGCGTACAACCAGTCCTCACTGTTGTCAGTGGCAGCCGCAGGCGCGTACCACCATGTTCTTGTACTTCTTCAGGATGACGTTGGAGTTGTCGTCGAAGAAGAGGACGGAGATGGCGTGGAGCTTGGTGGGGGCGCAGCAAGGCTTCGGCACGTTCTCCGGGTTCATCAGGTGCACCTGGAGACACGGGAACGTTTTAGTGACGACACTGTTTCTATTGGAGCAGATCCTTAAACTCACATTTGCGCGAGGCGCCTTGGCAAATTCATGTGATGCTGTTCTACGACAAAGAGAGACTTCTGGGTGTCAAGCTAATTTTAATATCAGACAAAGACACCTGATTGGATCTACAAGCCATTTGGCAAATGATGATTTAATTTGCTAAACGATGTGAAAGACCGTAAGCTTTAATACACATGGGTTGTGTTGCAAGATGTATCATAGCAGAAAGTCAACATTGGTGTAGTTGACAGAAAGGATGGTTTCAGAAGGGCCTAGTCAAAGACTGAAAGCCTGTGGTATGACCTGAAACCAGCTGTTTATACTTGAAAACCCTCCAATATGGCTGCATAAAAAACTGCAGAATGGGCCAAAAGCCAAGCTAATAGCCAGGTAGTACAAAAGCTTGATGGTGTTTGCACTATCAAGACCCAACCAGTCAGTAAGTCATGAAGCAATTACTTTCTCACATTGGGTCAGGTGGGTTTGGAGAACCTTTTCACCTAATAATAAATGATTATTTTTTTCCTTTCGTGTGATATTATAATGTATGTCTGAGGATCTGAAGCATTGACGTGTGATTAAAAAAAAAAAAATCTGTAAATGACAAATACTTTTCCACTGGACTGTGAATTTTGATAAATTTCAAACTTCATGTTTAGAACAAGTTTTCTCTTTGCCATTTTCGATTTTCAAAATGCCTTCAGAACTAAAATCTGGAAATTGACATGCATTTGAATTCAGTGCACTATTCAACTCAGGCACAGATGCCGTTTCTCTGTAAAGTTGAAACATAGAGGGGGAAGCATCATGCTGCGGGGAATGTTTTTCTTAAAGCGCTCAGAGTTTCAAGAATCTTAAAAAAAAAATTAACTTGAAACGCTTTCGATCACAGAAGTTGTGTGTGTTAGAATGGTCCAGTCAAAGTCCAGACCTAAATCCAGTTGCAAATCTGAGACCAGATTTAAACATATCAGTCACTTGTTTTCAATTTTACTGACAACATGACAACAAATCATGGATTTCATCTGAAATACACAGATGTACATATGCATCAAGCAGAGTGAGGCAGTCCTACCAGCGTTTGCACGATGGCGTGGTTGGTGGCATTCATGTGTCCATTCAGGGGGAAGGAACATTCTCCATCACAGTAGTTGGCGGCGTAGCCCTCGGGGGCAATGATCCAGTCCTGAAGAGACACATATGAACTTAATTTGCATGTGGCACGTCTGTCTCTACCAGCTCTGAGCAGCGATTTCATAAAGAATCCTTAAAGATTGTTTTAAAGCTATTTGATCGGAAGGAAGCCTCAAAAAAACGCAAAAGTAAAAGTTTCTGCAGTCTTCTAGAAGTTTACAACGTCTCCGAGGACAAATTCCTGTCGGCATCTACCGTATTACTCGAGGAAGCAATATTTCTCCCCTTTCTTCCTTCCTGTCTGCGCTTCACTGTTTCCGCCTGATGAGTTATCAGCATGTTTTAACCTCATTCCGACTTGTTTTCATGTTTTCAGCTTTCCACCTCGTCGTTTCTCTTCTTGCGTCTCCCTCTTTTCCCTTCTGGCTTATGGCGATGTGAATCTTTTTTTTTTTTTTTTAAACAAGACTGAGATTAACCAAGCATATGTTAAGTTGCTGATATAATGTGCAAGAGTGCGCATTCAGGTGAGTAATTGCTTGTGTTATTCCTCTAGATGTCAGTGGTGTGTCAACAGCTATCGGCATGTTTGAAAAAGCACACACACACACACACACACACACACACACACACTTGGGGGCTGACATTTGGGTCTGCTCCCACTCAGCTGTGTATATCTGACTCTCCTGCTAGTTTAATCTGCCTTGTTAGCAGCGGTTTATCACATTGTGAGAGTGTGAGAGCATTTTAAACACTGCAGTGTTTAAAATGCCTCCCACACCAGCAGCAGCAGCAGCAGCAACTTATTTCCGTCTTTGTGACTTAAGATGCCTTATCTGTGGTAGTTGTACAAAATGTAATAAGTCAAGACTTATCAGAAGCTTTTTCAATGTCCTACATTTTCTCACATTCAGTTGCACTTGATTGTTTGTTGTCTTGAAATGAATGAATTTATTGAAAAATCCTAAAAAAAAAAAAAAAATGTTTTAGCTTCTTTGGAAAGAATGAAATCAATTAACTGGACCAAGTTTATTAAACAATGTGACCACACAGCTTCAGAAAAAAGGACAATTCACACAGTTTTAGCTTCAGTATTATGAGTATATTAAATATTTCTTCTTTGTTTTGCTATTTTGTCACACATGACACAATGATAACTCGACGAAAGGAGTATGACCCAACGTGGAGAAGTAGTTCCCTTCTAAACCTACTAACTGGTTCAGACACCACCAATTTACATAAATTCATGAAAAATAACATTTTGACAAAAAGTTGTACAAGTATTAAATGTTGCTTCATATTCAACACACATAATTCAGTGGTAGTTTATGACACTAACATTTGGCATTGCCATTTTATTCCCTGACAAAAATAAATTCTGATATAAGTAAAGAAATAATTGACAGGAAACTGTTAGAAATTATTTATTTTATACCTCTAACAAAACAAAATAGAAATGAATAAATAAGATACTACCTTACTACTAATTTTATCATATCCAATTTTATCATTATAGCCAAAAGAGATTTTTGTCTGTCGTTTTCATTGTTACAGAGAAACTGTAAAATATGTTTAAAAGTGATTACGTCAGATTTTTTTAAATTTACTTGCTGAGTTTAAACATGAAATTCTTCCCAATAAAGCATTCTGTCTTTGAACTTAATTAACAGCATGACTCAAGACTGACTCATTAAAAACAAATGAACTCAACAACGGGACTTCATTAAAAATGCTTAAAAAGTAAAAGTACCTGCCAGCCCAGCTCTCTGAAGCTAACATACAGCTCGTGTCTTTTGCACGCCGTCTTCTGATTGCTGCTGTTGTAATCTGGAATAGAAGAACAGAAATCACTAGGAAACGTCCTTAAGATCAAACGTAACTTCAGTCAAACACAAAACATGTTTTTATCATCTCTTCTTTCCTCCTTTCCTCAACATATCAGTGCACGAAGACAGCAAAACAGCAAAAACTCCTCCCTCGGCGAATGATGACGTAAAACACAATTAAGTGGAGTGAAAACAAACATTACACTCCCGGCCTGAGAGCAGAAGAAAAACACAACTGGACTCGTGTAATGCTCTGGGTGGAGGAGCCTGTGTGGGCGTGGACCAGAGCTCAGGCATCAGTGCTCATTACGTGCGTTTCTGCGCCGTACGTGCTTCACATTCGTCCGCTGGATGAGGCATTTGAATGCGTGCCTAATTGAATTTTCCGGTGTCGGCCGATATTTGGCAAAACGCGCAAGCGGCGAGATGGTGACAACTGCGTCTATGGACTCTCCTGCCATGCAGTTTGTCGTTAACCGTCTCTGTTCCATTCTGCAGGCGGCGCGCGGGGCAGGTACAGGTTTTTTTTTCTTTTTTCTTTTTTTCGGTTTTTGGAGTTGAAGAGGTCATTGCTGGCAGCGGGAGCCGAGCTGAAGTCAAGATAGTGACACAGACTTTCCAATGAAGGTTTCAAGGGCTGCCTCTCTGGCTTTTCTGTCTTCTTTCCTGTTGATTTGATTGCTGGGTTTATGATTTCATCATGAAGCTCTAAAGGGAGGAAAGTGAGCAACAACAAAAAAAAAGAGGCCTTCTGTGATGATGGTTAGGGCTCTTATTCTCATCCAGGATAGAGATGTTGCAGTTTATTATTTAACTTCAATTTCATCCTAAAGGGTTTGGCTTATTATATTACATTAATTACAACTGGTTATTTAGCTACTTAGTTACTTAATTATAGTTTTTATTTAACCTTTATTTCAGAAAATCTCATTGAGATTAAAGATCGTCTTTGCAAGGGAATCCTGGACAAGACTAGCAGCAGCACACAGAAGATTCACACACACAAAAATACATAAAAACAACATTGCAAAGTAAATTAAAAGATTCATCAGTTAAAACATTTACAAATAGACAATCCCTTCTCAAAATCAGTAAGAAGAGCCTTAAAAGCATTTAGAGACAGAAGTCCTTTTAGACTCCTGTATTTCTGCAACTGGTTCCAAGAAGATGGAGCAGAAAACCGAAAACATTTATGTCCACGTTCAGTTCGTACTTTAGTAAAATAATGATAATTATGCTATTATTTGTAAAATGGTCCAGCTACTCGAGCATCCATAGCCTATACCCACTTGACTTTGTCAAATGGAGACTGTTTGAAAGCAGTCGCTGTTCGAGTTGCAAGGTAGACCGTAGACCATAGATACTCCATCATAGGGCAATACAGAAGCTCACCTGTTTAAGAAAACCAATTAACCTAACAGTCATGTTTCTGAGAAAACGGGAGTACCCAGAGAGAAGCCATGCATGCACAGAGAGAACATGTAACTTCCATGCAGAAAGTCTATAGGCCAGGATTTGAACCCAAGTCCTTCATGCTACTAAATATGCAACAGTGCAACCTTATTGAAACTGTTTATTATATATATATATATATATATATATATATATATATATATATATATATATATATATATATAAAAAAAATAAAAAATCTTCTATTGCTATCAGTTTCATGACATTGAATACAGCTGATTAAATGTTCCAATAACACGTTTTATCATTCTTATTAGATTTGACAACACTTGAATGCAAGAGTACGGGTCATCTTGTGTAAGAAAAGAATTGTGTGCAAGAAAAGTTTGATTTTTTTTTTCTTTTTTTGTAAATTAGAACAAAATATATAAGCTCTCCATGTAAGGAGGTGGTCTTTTTTTTTCTTTTTTTCTTTTCTTTTTATCCTCCAAAGTTTTCCCCTGAGTGTGTCTGTCAGAAGAGGCATGACTCAGAGGCCAGTCTGAGATTTGTCACTCAGTCACAGCCACCCAGTCACTCAGCTCACCAACTTGCCAGCCTTGTTTGTTCAGCTGGAGTTGCAAGGAGAAGCGCACACACACACACACGCACACGCATACACATAAGTTCACACGCACAGGCAGACAGTGTAAACAAACACGCTTCAGTTATGGAAGGGTCATTGATTTTGGTTCTTTACATCTCAGTGTCCATCATTCATGAGCAGTGGCATTTGGAAAACAAACAGTAACACACACACTCACACGTCTACATGAACCAAAGTTTATGTGTTTGATGTCAATGGACAAGGCTACTCAGCCACTCACTGATTCACCAGAGCTGGTTGCGTTCAGATTTCATCATCAGTTAGATGTCACTTCTCACAGTTCTGCCCAGACCCAAGAGTTTTAGCTCGTCTTATGAAGTTGGATTTATGATCGTTCATCTGAGATGAATAAAGACCCTGCATGTTGCTCGTACGGTGTCATCCAGATGAGGTTTTTCCTTCCTTTCCCTTTTTTTTTTTACGGTGCATTCATACCAGCCCCGTTTAGTTCGCTTTAAATCAAACTCTAGCTAGAAAGTCCAGTTCATTAAGGGAGCCATAAATGCGCAATCAAACTCTGACGCAAACCGAAAAAGAAAATTCTGGTTCGGTTGAAGTGAACTCTGGCGCGGCTCAAACGCATAGAGACTGCTCCGACGGCAGGGAGCGGACGATAGCGCAGGGCATTCTGGGTAAACGCAACCAAAACAAACGCCTGTGTCTAACTGTCTAGCTTTCGACTTTTTACCAAAGACAAAAAAAAAAAATCCTACACACAACTAAAATCTGACGCTGCTCCATTTTACTTTATGCTTTGTTGCGCTCAATGTCTTCTTCAAAGGTTTTTGCATCGTTTCCTTCAGTGGCTCTTGGTGCAGCGCCACCACAGGAGAGGGGAGGAACAGGTTTTTTTATTAACAAGTTTGGGTTATTTGAAACAGTGCAGTGTGAAAGCGAAATGTAACAAAAGTTGTCATTTTTATCCCCAATCGAAACGAGTCTACTGGACTATCAGGTGTGAAAACATCCTTTAAACTTCAGCAAAATCTGGGTGTCCTTTGTGTGGTTGAGTCCACTCTATAGGAGGCAGGAAGCCGAAGGTGAGACAGCGTGAGGCAGGGAGTGCTGCGGTGGGGTCAAAGGGCCGGCTGTAAGCGTCGGATACAGTCAGGTGTTTCCCCAGTTTATGGTTCCTTCCTTTCCGATAGGAAGGGCCGTTCACTGGCTGTCGGCTGATGTGGAAACGGGGAGTTTACTGTAGATGTGTGGGTCCGTGCTGTCAGTCATGTTCCTGCATGCGTGGCTAAATGTTCATCGGCAATAAAACCTTGGGTCAACTGTTGGTCCTGCCTCCCTGCGGACCGAGTGACCCTTTCGGCATCCTCGGCAGCAGAGAGTACATGGATTTAACAGCTTTACTGCAGGAAAACATCCACGCACCAAGCCACAGGCTGGTCCTGGATCCGAAACGTGACTGTTTTTCCTATAAATTTTCAAGCGAAAAGTCCACTCTGGCTGTGTATTGTTAGGAACAGTTCTGCTGCGCAGCCTGTTTATACACAGGAAACATCCAAGGACAGAGGAAAACTCGGAAAAGGGACAGGACCGACTGGCTGAGAAACTTGGCTGACCTGATTAGAGCTTGAGGTGGCATTTGTAGAGAATGAAATAACACATGGCGGTAGCGACATACCCCCGCTCGGTTCTGAGATATTATGGAAAAAGTTGATTTACAGATGCAGGGCCTTGAGAAAGTACTCATCTCTTCTAAATGTCTGCCCATTTGTCTTTTCACGTTGCATTCACAAACGTCTACGGATTACAAAGTGCCGCGTTATTGTGGATCGCGAGCGATGTGTAAAAATCTGAATAGTGTGGCGTGTATTTTTATCTAGCCTCCTTTACTCTAACATCAAGTTAAATTACCGTCAGAAGTCACCTAATTAATAAATTCACTTGTGCGTAATTTATTCTCAGAATAAATCCAGCCTTAAGGGTTCAGTGGAGAAATGTAGTGAGCAAACAATCATGAAGAACAGAGGACACATTAAAACATTAATGGGGAAAAAAAGCTAGGGAGAAAACCTTGGTGACTCTGGGGGAGCTGCAGAGATCCATCCACAGGTCAGTTGGGAAAATCTGTAGATATGAAAACTAATCGAATCAAGAAATCCGAGTTTGACATAAAAGTGATAAGTTTGTTAAAATATTGAAAGATCTTCACAAACCAGGTCACCAAAAGTAAATCATCTATTCTGATGATGAACATTATTTTGAAGGGCAATTTTGACTTTGAGACTCCATAACACAATTCATTTATGTTTTTGGTTGTGTGATTTTTATCTCCGTTTTAATTCATGTTTTTGGTCATTTATTTATTTTGGATATTTAAAATATAGTATCTTCTACTTCCATTGATGAGTGTCTTTTTTTTTTTTACAAAATTAAAGTTTTTTGATTTTTCAAAGGGTAAACTTGCATCATTATGCTATTATTATTATTATTATTATTATTATTATTATACTCAAAAATTGTCTCAAAACACCAAGAATTTCCAGCAAAATTTGTTACCATTACAGGCCTAACCATAAGTGAAGGTAATACAGTCATAATGTGAGAACGGGAATCTGATTAGTTGAGACTAATGTAGCAAAAATGTTTATACAATTGCAATTATAAATTACAGTACAATGTAGAATCATCCATGCAGGCTTTAACAATTAAATATCTGTGCACGTCCGCTGGCTTCTGCGTGTAACACACAATATGTGGCGCGTTAAAATCTTGTAAAAATATTCACTACTTTAAGGTGCATACAGCCATGTCATACACACACTTTCACACAGACCCCCTACTACTCCTTCATCCAGGTCTGCTTTATGATGCGTGACATTCAGCTTCGGGTAAAATCACAGCCGAGGGTGGAGGGTGGATGAAGCCGCTCGGCTGCCTGCACACTCATCAGGCTTTAGACGGTACTTAATAAGAAGAAACACAAGGCT